GGCGTCACGCACACCTATTTCGGCACCCCTCACACGTTTCGTGGCCCCATAGGGAGCTCCACCGAAGGCCCCAGTGCCACCGCCCGCGTGCGCCACGCACACCCATTTCAACAGACCCCGCACACGTTTCGTGGCCCCATAGGGAGCCCCACCGAAGGCGCCAGTGCCACCGCCCGCATGCGTCCGCATGCGCCACGCACACCCATTTCGGCATACCCTTCACACGTTTCGTTGCCTCACAGGGAGCTCCACCGAAGGCCCCACTGCTACCGCCCGCATGCGTCATGTACACCCCGTTCGGCACACCTCTCACACGATTCGTGGCCCCATAGGGAGCCCCATCGAAGGCCCCAGTGCCACCGCCCGCATGCGTCACGCACACCAATTTCGGCACACCCCTCACACGTTTCGTAGTTTCACAGGGGGCTCCACCGAAGGCCCCATTGCCGCCGCCCGCAGGCGTCACGCACACCTATTTCGGCACCCCTCACACGTGTCGTGGCCCCATAGGGAGCTCCACCGAAGGCCCCACTGCCACCGCCCGCATGCGTCACGCACACCCATCTCGGCACACCCCTCACACGTTTCGTGGCCCCACAGGGAGCTCCACCGAAGACCCCAGTGCCACCGCCCGCATGCGTCACGCACACCCATTCCGGCACACCCCTCACACGTTTCGTGGTCCCATAGGGAGCTCCACCGAAGGCGCCAGTAGCTGCGTTCGCACGCCCACCGCACCCATTTCGGCACAACCGTCACACGTTTGGCGGCACCATAGCGAGCCCCACCGGCGGCCCCAATGGCTGCGTTCGCATGCGCCCACCGCACATCCTTCGGCACACCTCTCACGCGTTTCGTGGCCCCACAAGGAATTCCACCGACAGCCCCTGTGGCTGCTTTCGCATTCGCCCGCCAGGCAATGTTTGACACACCCCTCACACGTTTCGTGGCCCTATAGGGAGCTCCTCCGAATGCGGTGCATACAACGACGGTGTTCACAACTGCATCTGTGTCGCTCCTTCGACAGGCAAATCTTCAACATGTTTATAACATGCTACCAAGCATGCCGCGCGACAGCATTTTTAGATCATGCAACCAAATGCTATTAACAACTTTCATAACATGCTCATAACATTTCCAATGCTTAATTTTAACAGGGCTTCGCGCGCGCGCATGTCGAAAACGTTCGGGCGCCCTTGCGCGCGTGCTGTCGAAATAATACTTTGCAAACAACGGGACGAAGTGCACACGCGCGCGTCGTCGCGCACGCATGCCGAAATCCGTCAAACACCGAAGGTTTCGCAGCATCCGTTGTAAAAAAGCCTGTGCTTGCGCTCTTTGTGAATTCGAAAGACACCGATCGGTTTTACATGATTGTCATGGGATTCAGCCAAAAGAGCCTCTCGCGCCGCGTGCCGCAATCATTCGAACGCTCTTGCGCGCGTGCTTGGGGGGCACGATCCGTGTCAAAGTATACCATGCGACTGCTCTCGGGCATCGGCCGCGCGCGCATGTCGAACTCCTTCGAAACCCTCGTCGCCGACGCGAGGACGCCGTAATTGTCGTCGGCGTGATCAGCATCGGGGCCGTGCCGTCGTCGCTGTCAGTATCGTCACCAGCATCGCTACTATCATCATCGTGTCTACCGTTGTCGACGTTGCCATGATAGCGCGCCCGCTGCGCGCGCGTGCATGCGCGGGCTGGCGCGGCCGCTGAGATGCACCAGCCAACGCCAAACACTCATCGCAATCGCCGCCGCATGGGTTTTAGCAAGCCAATTTGCGGGTCGGTGGGTGGGATGTTTGCGCGAGCAGTGGAGTGGACAACTTCCTGCGACCCGCATTTTTGTTGAAAGAGAATAGAATCCAGGGTTAACGGTCCACCTTGTCGTAATGAAGTTTACATATGATTCAGCCACATCGTCCATCTGAAATATGAACTCGTACCATCCCAGGCAGGCCAGTATCGACCTCCCCGACATCCCCTGCCAAAAATACACTGCACCCGCACTCATTCATCAACAGTCATCATCTTCCAATATTTTCCGGCAAAACATGGGACGAAGTGCGCACGCGCGCGTCGTCGCGCGTGCATGCCGCAATCTTTGAACAACTTTCAGTGTCCTAGGGGTTTCAAAGTCGAGTGTCCAAAGAACATATAAACATACATTGTTTTGCAGCATTGGTTTTCCAACACAAATTTGCGCACGTAGTGAAGGACATCATTTTTACAATATTTTTCAGCAAATGCAGCCGAACGGGCTTTGCGCGCGCATGTCGAAATCGTTCGAACGCCCTTGCGTGCGTGCTGTCGCAAGAATCCTGTACAACAAGTGGGACGAAGTGCACGCGCGCGCGTCGTCGCGCGTGCGCATGCCGACATCAGTCGAAAACCATAGGTTCCGCAATCATTTCGAAGCCGTATATCCCGACACCATACAATTAGCCTGGCGCAGGACCCAACCACATGCAGTTGTGAGCACCGTCGTTGTATGCACCGCGTTCGGAGGAGCTCCATACAGGGCCACGAAACGTGTGAGGAGTGTACCAACATTTGTCTTGTGGGCGCATGCGAAACCAGCCATTGGGGCCGTCGGAGGAAACGTGTGATGGGGTGTGCCGGAATGGGCGTGGGTAGCGCATGTGGGCGGTGGCACCTGGGCCTTCGGTGGAGCCCCCTGCGGGGCCACGAAACATGTGAGGGTGTGCCGGAATGGGTGTGCGTGACGCATGCGGGCGGTGTCATTGGGGCGTTCGGTGGAGCTCCCTATGGGGGGGTTACGAAACTTGTGAGGGATGTGCCGAAATGGGTGTGCATGACGCATGCGGGCGGTGGCACTGGGGCCGTCGGTGGAGCTCCTCATGGAGCCACGAAACATGTGTGGGGTGTGCCGAATGGGTGTGCATGATGCATGCGGGCGGTGGCACTGGGGCCTTCGGTGGAGCTCCCTGTGGGGCCACGAAACGTGTGAGGGGTGTGCCGGAATGGGTGTGCGTGATGCATGCGGGCGGTGGCACTGGGGCCTTCGGTGGAGCTCCCTGTGGGGCCACGAAACGTGTGAGGGGTGTGCCGGAATGGGTGTGCGTGATGCATGCGGGCGGTGGCACTGGGGCCTTCGGTGGAGCTCCCTGTGGGGCCACGAAACGTGTGAGGGGTGTGCCGAGATGGGTGTGCCTGACGCATGCGGGCGGCACTGGGGCCTTCGAAAAGGCGGGCCACCTTTGGCCGCGCCCCAGGGCAGGGCCACCACGGCTCCCGCCGGCCAGGGGGCCCAGAGGGGGAAGGGCCAGAGTTTCAGAGCCGCCACAGGGCCACACACCTGGGGGCGGAAAGGGCGCGACAGCGCGGACGGCCAACCCCGCGGCGCTCACCTCGCCAAGCAAACACAAACTCGCCAAGGCCGAGGAACCTCGACAGGGCAAGCCGCAAAACTGTCCTTGAGGGTCTGCCGTGCTGGTCTGTCGTGCTGCTGTGGTCTGCTATGCTCCTGTGGCCTGCAGTGCTGGTAAGTCCGTGACACGTTTTAAAAACAAAAGCGACGCTGCCCGTCTTTGTCCTGTCAGGTTTCTGAAAACTGGCCATGTCGCTCGAGACATCCACAAAAAATCTGCCCCGGAAGGGACTCCGAATCGACATCGTCTTGGAGTCTCTCCCGGAGGGTTGTCGAACGGCCCAAAGGAGGCCTCATAGACGCCCTGGAGGGCCCCTAGAGCGCCCAAGAGCGCCCCAAGAGGGCCCGAAGAGACACCCAATAGCGCTCCAGGAGGCTCCAGACAGTTCAGGAGGAGAGCTCCAAGACGGCCCAAGACGGGCAAATAGGGCCCTAAGAGACTCTCAAGAGCACCCCAGGAGGCTTCCACACGGCCCAAGAGAGCCCCAAGACGGCTCAAGATGACGCCGAGACGACCCAAGAGAGCTCCCAATTCATCCCAAGACGCGCCCAGACAGCCTAAGACGATCCCAGAAGCCCACAAGAGGACCCAAGAGGGCCGCAAGAAGCCCGCAACAGGCCCTAAAACAGCCCCACGCGGCGCCAGGAGCCCCCAGGGTAGCACGACAGGGTCACCAGGACCCTCTCCTGATTCAACGTCCTTCTCCAATTGCCTCTTACTGCCCTCCGCCGTCGTCGTCGTCGTCATCGTCCTCCGCATTCCTCGTACTTGCCCTCGTTCTTTTCGTCCTCGTCTTTCTGCTTCTCTTCCTCCTCGTTGTCCTCATGCTCCTCGTCGCTATCCACACGTTCTCCACGTCGTCCTCGTCGTCGCCTCCTCGTCGCCATCGCCTTCCTTTTCTTCTTCTTCGCCCAACAAGCCGGGCTCGAGGCTGTGCGGCCCTTGCGGACCCCTCTCCAAGAGATTTTTGCCCTGGGCACCGTTCACAAGTATGTACCCACGGAGGACACCGGCAATGAGCAGCCACGGTAAAACTGCACACAGCCTGGAGCACAGGACTCAAGCCGATGTCCCTGGACCGAAGATCCTCGGGCACGCGAAGTTAGCGAAGGACCGAAGCCGACGCTCCTGCCAGACAAGCCTGACTGGGTTGACAGACGCCTCATCCCAAGAGAAAAAGGATCCCGTGAACCTAGTTGTCGTGCGCCGAATTGCCCATTCGGCGTGCCAGCGGGCTCGGCGGCGATGAAGACCCTCACGGCCGCCTCCCCTGTGTCTGACCTTCCCGCCTTTCTTTCAGTGGGTAGAACGACCCCGTGGGTTGAGTATCACGGTTGGCCGCCCAGCCCCAGCCCTCGCGGCATAGGGTGACCGCGCCCCATGGTGAAGGCCCCTTGCAGGGAAGGAACGCCCTGCAGGACCTCGCCCAGAAAGCCCATTGGACTAAAGCGGCGCTTCCCGTTCTTGTCCGACCAGGTTTCTGAAATATGGCCGTTTCGTTCGGGACATCCTCAACAAGTCGTCTCTGGAAGGGTCTCGAAACCAGCATAGTCTTGGACTCGCTCCCAGAGGGCTTCCAGAGAGGCCCCGCATGCCCCCGAGGGGACCCCCAAAGCGCTTCAAGAGACCCCCAAGAGACCGCCAAGAGCCACCCCGTAGCCATTTTTGCTCAAGTTTGCCTCGAGTTAACGGATTCAGACATATTGGATACATCGGTACGGTATTGTGTCCCATAGCATGTTGCCGCGAACGCGCCTTGCGACATCTCGACATGGAGTGGTGGAACTCATCGAGCTATTGAGTTTTCTTCCACTTGCGGCGTCATTTGCGCTGCCCTCAGTCGCTTCTCATCGCGAATGTAAGCCGAAAGCGACAACAAAGTATTCAATTCGTCACGGCGCGAAGCCTTCAGGGCAAGGCAACCTATGGGAATACTATCACTTCTTGATCGATTTTGCTACAGCTATGTTGCACTTCATGCGTAACGACAGCGCGCCCTACAAAATTTTGCAGGTGCCAGACTGGCGCAATAACAAGTTCCGTTTGGCGTTGCCGGGCCAGCCGCAGAGGAGTATGGAAGCGCATTTTGAGTTCGTCTTGGGGCAGCCGTTGGGTCTGACCATCGAAGTCGCCAGCAGCTTTGAGGCCTTCGCGGAGAACGCCAGGACGTCGAGGCAGCTCGACTGGGACTGCCACGGCGCAGGCCAGTCGAATCAGTGGTCTGGATTCCCCAAAGAGCACCTCGTGGAGTTCCGGGACCACGCCTGGGGCCTGCCTGGCCTGCCGCCAGCCTGGCACTGAGACGTCGTCGCTGTGAGGCGCGGACATCTCCAGAACTACACGGGCCCACCCCCGGGGTGTTCTCGTCGATGCCTGGGCGAGCGCTTCTACGATCGCCTGCTGGAAAATCAAGCTGTTGCCGACCAGATCGCTCTGTCTTCGCATGCGAGTGTCACTGTTGCGCAGCGTGGCGCCGCGCTGTCGAACATCATCTTTGCACGTCCAGGAGCGCTGGCCGTCGAGGTGGGAAAGGCCGATTTTCCATGCTACCAGAGGTTATCTGCAGAACTTGGGTTACCTTTTCTCTATTACGATACGGATGAGTTTTCAGATCACGTTGCACAGGGCATCTCGAAAGCGTCAGCAGATGACATCGGCAGAGGCGACGAGCAGTTAAGGGAGCTTCGCGACGTCATCGGGCGGTTCGCGCTGCCTCCAGAGCAGCGCCTCCCATGTGCGCTGCCCCGATTTCGCCACGTGCGTAGGGCAGCAGTTCGGGCAGTAGTAGAATACCTTCATGAGGCCCTATTTGGTTCAGTAGGGCTGTCTAGGGAGGCAACTGGTTTCCAAGGCCATTCAGCGCTTTGTTGTCTCCTTCGGAGTCTGGCCAACTCATCGGGTCCTTCGCCAGCGCTTCTCTGGACCACGCGCAAGTTGTAGTTCGGGCAATTTTTGTCGCCAGCCTGCGTTCTCACAGCCAGCGCGCGACCCGGTCCAGCGGAACAAATTCGGGTGCTGGTCCCAGCAGCGGCCACTGTCTATCGGCGGTTCCGTCAGTTGGGTGGGCCATCCTTACGGGGACTGCGGGGCCAGCTTTTGCTCGCATCCTTCTCCCCCCTCCCCGTCCTCTCTCTTATGGGCCGCGAGCGTTTCAACCTGCTCGTGTGAGCCGGCCACCGCGGGTTCGAGCCTTCGTTTCTGTGCGCTCGAATATGAAAAAAAGAGAGAAACAAAAGAGACCCCCAAGAGCCGCCCAGAGGTCCCCTAGCGCGCTCGAAGAGGTCCCGGGACTGCCCAAGAGGGCCCCAGGACGGCCCAAGGCAGCCCAAGAGGGCGCCAAGATGGCGCCAGGATGGTCTGAGAGAGCTCCTCCCGTAGAACCCTAAGACATGCCCAGACAGTTCAAGAAGACCCCAGGAACCCCCAAGAGGACCCAGGCAGGCCCCCAAGAGGTCCCCAAGAGGCCCCCAGGATGTCCCAAGATGGCCCCAGACGGCCTCAACAGCCCACATGGTCGCCTCAAAGATCACGAGGACCCCTCTGCTCTTCGACGTCCTTTTCGTCGGGCTCCTTTCCGTCCTTCTCCGTCGTCGTCGTCGTCCTTCTTCTCTTCCTACTCCTCCTCCTCCGCTTCGATCGTCCTGGTGCTCGTCCTCCTCCGTCTCTTCCTTGTCCTCGCGCTTGTCTTCTATTCGTTGTCCTTCTGCCCCCCTCGCTGCCCTCCCCGTCATCCACGCTGTCATCCTTGACATCCGCCGCCTTGTTGTCGCCATCATCCTTTTCTTGTCCCCCTGCGAGCCCAATGGACAACATCGGCGCTTCTCGTTCTTGACTGATCAGGTTGACTTTGCTCGGTGAAGCATATTGAAACGTATCGGAACTGAGAGGTTGGGCGTTCGAGCTGCAACAGGAGCTCGGGGTACCCCAAGATGACCCCAGGGAGACAGGGAGACCCAAAAGGGGCCCAAGATGCCCCAAAACTGCCCAAGAGCGCCCCAAGGAGCGATCTCAAGGGCCCCAGAGAGGGGACCAAACGTCAGGACCCCTCTCGTTTCACCGACGACCTCCACGATAGCCCCTCAGAGGCTCTCCGGGGCTCCCAAAAAGGCCCCCCGAGAGCCCCAACAGGGCCCCAAGACGGCCCCAGGCCGGCCCTAGGAGCGCCCAAGAGCAGCCTAAGAGCGTCCCACGAGGGCCCCAAGAGGCGATTTGCCTCCTCCTCCTCCTCCTCCTCCTCCTCCTCCTCCTCCTCCTCCTCCTCCTCCTCCTCCTCCTCCTCCTCCTCCTCCTCCTCCTCCCCCCTCCGCCCCACCGCGGGCCCCAGGGGTGGCCCGAAGAGGCACTCCAAGGCCACCCCCCTTGATCCCAGAGATCTCTCTGCTCATCCTGGCTGCGCGCGCTGTTTCACAATGCGGTGTGGGCATTGGATAAGGAACCCGTAGATAAGGAATCCAGGGTCTGGAAGCCAGTGGGACTCCAATCGTGGATCCGCCATGGATATCACCGCCGCCCTCATTGGATACATAAGGAATCCTCCAGGGTCTGGCGCCTCCTGGCACTATTCCTTAACAAACGCCTCCACCTTATGTGTCTGTGAGTTCCTTTTTTTCCGTCAGCTCGCATGGGCAACGTTTCTAAACGGGCTCGTGGAGATGCGCGAAGCGTGAAGAACTGTTTCCTGAACTTCTGGAAGCGCTGGGTGAAATTACAGGCGGCTGTCGCTGGTTCCAAGCTCGTTTTTAGGCGATGCTCACACGGCTGCTGGCTTTCAGGGACCCCTCATCCTGCGACAAACTATACAAAATCTAGTTCACTCTCTAGCTTTCAAACACAACAGGCTTATGTCCATTCCAGTGTGTCAAAGGCCACCCCATCCCACAACAAAGAAGACAACGTTAAAATCAAGATCGTTTGGCTCATCAAGGCAACATACGGTTATCACCGACCACGTGCTCCCAAGGCAAACTCGCCTTGCAAAGACGAACGCAATGCTGACCTCGACCGTCAACCTGCTTCCAAGGCCGCGTGAAATTTCGAAGACCATCACAACCTGTACTCTTGAGGCTCCCCCAAAGCACATCGGACGCGAAACTGCGAGAAGACACATAATTTATGGTTTGGATAAGGTTGTATTGGTTTTTGGCCTCTCGGGGGATCCTGAAGCGGCCTCCGAGCGCACTTGGAACCTTCTTGTGTCCCTCGTCGGGCCTCTCGGAGGTATATCGGACGCTATATCGAACCATCTTTGGCTGCCTTGAGCCGCCTTGAAGGCCACTTTGGAGCTAGGATGCCCTCTTGGAACCACCTTAGGCGAAACAAAGACCCCTGACACATCGCGACACAGGGCGGGAGGGGGAGGGTACCGAGCGAAACGGTTTGCTTTGACGAGAGACAGGACTCGTTTGACCACCTTAGCCCAACGGGCTGGTGGAATTGAGACCATCTGAGGTGCAAACATTGTTTAGATAGTAAAGTCAATCTTGACGAGCAGGCTGGACAGAGATTGGGCGACGAAGCTTCGCGATCGGATTTGCCGCCAGGATGCATTACGGACTTCTCACACACCTACTTGACCCCCTTGTAAGTAGGAGCATTAGCATTCGAGTGCGAGCGCAAGAGTATGGCGACCAACAAGACATGGAAGTACATGTCCGATCGCACAGATGAAGACGAAGGCTGATCCAATTGCGCCGTGTGCGAGCGCAGTAGGGAAGGCACGCACAAGGCGAGAACGAACACGAACATGACTACAGTGCTCGAGCTAAACGGTGTTTTGGGTGATTTCTTGGACAATTTTCGTTCTGATGTTGTTTCGCAGCAAATGCAGAACGAAGGCACTTTTCGAAGGAACACGACAACGAAGCGAAAACGAAAACGCCGTTCAGTTCGAGCCCTGCATGACTACGAGCCACCAGCAGAGGCTTTACGTTGCCTCGGAGATGCTTCCTCTCTCGCGGAGGGAGGTCCTGGACCTCATTTGCACCGTGTACAAGCTACAGGCCGACGTGCTGGCCGTAGAGGCGGCTGCAGAGGCTCGTGCTCGGGAGAGGATGCGGCTGCCTTCGCTGCCGCCGCCGCCTCGCCTGACCGTCTGCAGAAGCGCACTCTGCTCCTCAGCACGGCGCCCCCCCGCCACTGCTGCTGCCTCCGCAGCCGCTTCCGTGCGTGGGCCCGCTGGCCCAGATACTCTGCCCCTCGTCCCGACTCTGCGGCCGCCACCGCCGCCACCGCCGCAGCTTGAGCATAGCTTGTTGCATTCTGGGGTTGCCCGCCAGCCCGTCATCTTCTTCGGCATGTATTCTTTTACATGCAGTTGGGCGCTCCAGCCCCGCTCCGCTTAGTCCCCTCGCGTGGGAACTCGTGCGGGCACCGCCACCTTCGCCGCCGCAGCCACTTCTTCCCATCCTCTGACGCCGCCGCCAGAGATAACGAGAACGACGGCGTCGGCAACCACGACTCCGCTCGTGCCCTACCGCCCAGCGTCGGCGCGATCGAACACTGCAGACGTCGTTCTGTGCCGCTCAGACTCAGACATCCAACGATCTGATTTTTCGCGGGGTAGTTTCTCGGTCTGGATCCGTTCTCGACGGTCAAAGGGCCCGATGACGGGCCCCGAAGGCCGAAATCAAGGAAAAGCGTCGGGATCGAACGAAATCGGACCCTCGGACATCTGGGGAAGCAGCAGGCGGCAAAGAGTGCCTGCACATGCGGTCGGCACAGGGACCCCAAAGGCGAGGCGCGCCCCCCCCCCTCCCCTGGAAGATCTCCTGGGGCCCTTGCAGGCGGCGGCGGCGCGAGAGGCGGCGGAGCAGCAGGAGGCGATGGCCGCGCAGGCTGCGTTGGCGATGGGCAACAAGGCCGCCGCTGCCGCGGCTGCCGCCGCCGCCGCCGTCGCCGTCGTCATCGCCGTGGCCGTCGTCATCGTCGTCGTCGTCGTCGTCGCCGTTGCCGTCGTCGTCGGTGTCGTCGTCGTCGTCGTCGTCGTCGTCGTCGTCGTCGTCGTCGTCGTCGTCGTCGTCGTGGCCGTCGTCGTCGTCGCCGCGGCCGTGGCCGCCGTCGCCGCCATCCCAGATCTCCGAAGATAATGTTTTTTTCGGTCCTGGTGCTCTTCCTCAGTTTCGGCCTCCAGGGGCCCGTCGTCGGTCCCCCGGGGCCATCACACACAGCCCCTGGGAAGAGGGGTCGGGACCTCCTCCTTTTCCTTTTCCTCCTCCTCCTCCTCCTCCTCCCCCTCCTCCTCCTCCTCCTCTTCCTCCTCCTCCTCCTCCTCCTCCTCCTTCTCAAGAGGGGTCGGGACCTCTTTTGTGGCCGCGCGTTGAAAAGTGGCATCTTCTGGTGTCTCGGCTTGCCGTGGCCATGGCCACCCTCGCCACCGGCACCGCCGTCACCGCGGCAGCGGCCGCGGCCGTCGTCGCCAACTCCGCCGCCGGACGTCGGCATTCTGCCGGTTCGTGGTGGCCTTGGCCGCGGCTGACGCCGCCATCGCGCCTGGAGGGTTTCTCCGAAGGGCTTAGGCGACCCCTCCTCCTCCTCCTCCTCCTCCTCCTCCTCCTCCTCCTCCTCCTCCTCCTCCTCCTCCTCCTCCTCCTCCCCCTCCTCACCCTCCCCTTCTCGGGTCGCCTACGGTCCCAGGGGAAACCGTCCAGGGTGACTCAGGCTGACGCCGCCATCGCAGCCAATTGCGCCGACTCGAAGTTATGTTGGTCGCCCTCTCGCTGGTCTGGGGCAGGGGGGGAGGAGAAGCATCGTTTGCCCCATCCCCATCCCCACTGGGCCATGTAGCCTGACTCCGAGGCGGGCATCTATCCATAATTACCGCCTGGGGGATCGATCTTCGCGGACCTCGGCAGGCAGTGGATATGGATCTGGATATGGATATGGACATGGACATGGATATGTGTGTATGTATGTATGTATGTATGTATGTATGCATGCATGCATGCATGCATGCATGTACGTCTGTCTGTCTGGCTGTCTGTCTGTCTGTCTGTCTGTCTGTCTGTCTGTCTGTCTGTCTGTATGTATGTATGTATGTATGTATGTATGTATGTGTGTGCATGTATGTGTGTGCATGTATGTATGTCTGTCTGTCTGTCTGCCTCCCTGCCTGCCTGCCTGCCTGCCTGCCTGTCTGTATGTCTCTATGTATGTATATTTATATGTATGTATGCATGTCTGTCTGTCTGTCTGTCTGTCTGTCTGTCTGTCTGTCTGTCTGTATGTATGT